AAAATGTCTAGATGACAGAGAGATTTTTAGAATTTTTATTTTTTTTAAATATAATACTTTAGTTTTTGAAGATTTGTTTACTCATATTTTTATTACTCGATCTTGCATTGGTATTTATATCTGACAAWAAGATAATTTTGTTTTGCACTGACAAATTGTCATTTTATTACTTTACATTTAATTTGTTTAATTTTTATATATGAGACTAATTATAATGTATAATAAATAATATATATCAATATAAGRTTGTACGAGAGTATTTTATGTTGTAAAATCTTCAACTCAAAGTATTATTGTTACAAAAAATAAAATTATAAAAATTTCAACTGTTATCTCTAAATGGATAGATAGGTGTTGATATACAGCTATATTTCAGCTTCTTTGGATTACTTTGCCCTATCTATTCCTTAATATAACATTACTTACTTCGATGAGTTCTTTAATGTTTAGATTTAGTTACTTTTTTTTTGCTGGAATTAATTCGGAAATTTAATTTCAGCAAATTTTGGAAATGTTTTAATTAAAAAGTATGACTAATTGTTTTAACAAAATATGTTAAACAAAGTRCAAAATAAATTTTTCTTACCAGAGTGCAATCTCATTGTAAATTAACTTGACAAATTCTTTAGAATTCAAAAAAATACATTTTACTTTTTCGACAAAAAAGGTTTTTTTTTTGTAAAAATTAAAAAACAGTTCTGTTATTTCGTTTGTTTTTAACTAAACTATTTAAAAAACACATAATACATTACTTTTTATAAGGTAATTTTGCAGGCTAGTTGATATGGTTTACATTTTTTTTTTAATAATCGCATAAAGAAAAATAATATTAAAAAAAATAACATTAAAAAAATTCTTATATTTTGCTTTGTAAGAACTAAAAACAGCTATTATGATTGTGAATTTGCTTTTACCAAACGTTTATTATTTTTATATTAATTTTCAATAATTATTTAATTAATTGCGAACGAGAAGATATTTATTATAATTATTATATATTTTTTACATTTTTATATTGTCTAATATTATTATTATATATATATATAAATATTAATTTAAATAAATTGAATATAAGAGAGACAATGTCTATTTGCTTAGATATAGAATAAACATTTTTTTTCCTACTGTAAAAACTCATTTAACCGTATCATTTAGAAACAAAGGAACATTAATATTCATTTCATACTATTATTCTTTTTAAAACTTGGGAACTGCGAAGTATGGATGTCTATCAATTATTTTTTTTTTTTAATTGCCTAATCTCTTTAAACATTCTTTCACGAAACATTAACTTGACATAACGGACACCCTTTTTTCCCTTTGACCTTGATAAGTCGCTCACGTGCTAATCAAAAACGCAACACAAATATAATGACAGATGGAAAAATTGAATTCTCTTMCGTGTGRAAACAAAAAAAGTGTATAGGCAAGAGAATCATGATTAACCCTTTGCACTCGAAGTTTTTTTGGAGTCATATTACTAGCAACTCGAAGCCATTTTAGTGAAAAGATCATATTCACATGTAATTTTCATGATATACGCATTAAAAGAAAAGTCATCGTTGTATGATATTATTTTTTTAATTGTTTATGGATACAAATGTTAGGATATGTAAAAGAAACTATAAAATTATTACATTTATTAATCTTCCAAAGTGTGATACCTCTCGAAGCAATTGCCAATATGTAATCTTGACTTCTCTAGACAGGTATCACAAAAATAATGGGTCTGCCGTCTTTCGTCTGGAATTTTTCTATTCKAACACACTACACAATCTTTCTTGGTTCCAGAACGTATAATATGTAGGTGGTTGTTGAGCCTGCCCTCCGTATTTGGTGTGTAACTGTATTCTCGAGATGTGCTGTTTTGTCGGAAATTTCCAATCAATTGGTCCACCAACAATTTTACAAACTTCAAGTGTGTCATTGGTTTTTCATTATTTATTTTTTTAACAGAAGTGTACAATATGTATGCATTTACTGTACACATTTCCATCCCCCMAAAAAATAGTTTTCTCCACCATTTCAGGGATTTTCTCAGAAAACAATATGTTGCAGCATATTGGTCGGCCCGATCTACTCCACGTATATTTTTTGTGTAATCGATAACAATTTTAGGTTTTTGTATTCTGACCAATTCACCACCACGTATTCTTCTATCAACCGATGTCAAACCCGCTTCATTACGAGTACTTAACAAAGTGACAATCCTTTTGTCCTTCCATGCGAGAGCTAGGGTTTTGCCTTTTCTGTAAGCCACTGTTTTCCTGTCTCTTACAAATTGCGGTTTTTTTATTGCCGTTGGTAAATATTTCCTATTTGTTTTGATTGTACCGGTGAGGAAACAATTCATTTTTAGCAGTTCTTCAGCAAGGGGTATGCTTGTATAATACCTGTCGGTATACATATGATAACCATTAGCATTAGGAACATTGTCCAATAGTTTTCTGTTCAGGTCTAAAGGAATTCTGGAACTGACAGGCAGATCAGGTCTTATGAGATTTTCAGAAGTAATACTGCCGTAATAAGGCAAAACCGAATAAACATAACCGGTAATTGAATCGGCCAGAACGTAAATTCTAATTCCCCATTTATTGGGTTTAGCTGGATTATATGTCATAAAACATATTTTCCCCTTAAATTTTATAATGGATTCATCAACGCAAATCGATTGATACGGTATACTAATACCGCAACTAATTTTACGATTTGTTTTTGTTCTTATGTTAAGAACTGAAAATTATTTGCATTGTCTCCGTAGCGGAGCCCTCGAGTTTGAAGACAAATTTTAAATGGCTACGCTCCGGAGCCCTCGAGTGCAAAGGGTTAAACATATCAGTAAAAATGAAAAGGTTGCAGTAAAGTAACTCAAAAACGATGACGTTGGGAAACTGAGGAATTCCTATGTAAACCATAGACGCCAGAACGTCGCCAAAAGAAACACGAATTTACCTTAGTCGTTGCTATTATGTGCAAACCGAACCATACCAATGCAACACCGACAAATAAGCCTAAGCATATTTAATAATACCTAAAGCACCTAAATATTATTTTATACCTATTATTAAATACCTAAGCATATTTGTGATTATTTGTTTTTGTTATTTGTTTGTTTATTCAAAATTTTACGAGAATTATCCATTGTTACATAAACAGAATAAAATATTGAAAGATAATATATATAAATATAATACTGATAAATAAAATATAATATAAATATAAATAAA